GGTGTCCCCAAATGACCACTCCTGTCCAGCCTACTTCAAGGGACTGAAAATAGGGTAATCCAAATAGCCATTACAATACCTATTAAAATATATTTAATTATGGTTCTGGGGTCTGTGGGAACAGTAAACAATATTAATATTTCTTATCATATTCTTTTATTCTATTATTATTTTGTATTGTATTTCTTTGTATGGGTTTGGCTATATTAGACGGTGACGAGAAGACTTTAGTCAGTACGTTCGAGGATACCGAGCTGCTCGTAGACGTCTGATATTGCCAACCGCCATACAGCTATATTAGATTGGAATAAACAAGTTTAAGTATCACAAGTACTTTACTTTATCGGAAACAACACAACGTGAAAACCTAGACGAAGTCTTACAGTATCTCTCTATAGCAACGGTTTTATTTTTACCTACAACACTAGTTATTCGTAACTAAGGAGAGCCTCTGCAGCATCCCTCTATAGCAACGGTTTTATTTTTACCTACAACACTAGTTATTCGTAACTAAGGAGAGCTTCTGCAGTATCCCTCTATAGCAACGGTTTAATTTTTACCTACAACACTAGTTATTCATAACTAAGGAGAGCTTCTGCAGTATCCCTCTATAGCAACGGTTTAATTTTTACCTACAACACTAGTTATTCGTAACTAAGGAGAGCTTCTGCAGTATCCCTCTATAGCAACGGTTTAACTTTTACCTACAACACTAGTTATTCGTAACTAAGGAGAGCTTCTGCAGTATCCCTCTTTAGCAACGGTTTAATTTTTACCTACAACACTAGTTATTCGTAACTAAGGAGAGCTTCTGCAGTATCCCTCTATAGCAACGGTTTAACTTTTACCTACAACACTAGTTATTCGTAACTAAGGAGAGCTTCTGCAGTATCCCTCTATAGCAACGGTTTAATTTTAGCCTTCAACACTAGTTATTCGTAACTAAGGAGAGCTTCTGCAGTATCCCTCTATAGCAACGGTTTAATTTTAGCCTTCAACACTAGTTATTCGTAACTAAGGAGAGCTTCTGCAGTATCCCTCTATAGCAACGGTTTAATTTTAGCCTTCAACACTAGTTATTCGTATCTAAGGAGAGCTTCTGCAGCTTCCCTCTATAGCAACGGTTTAATGTATTATTTATTGATTCAAATGTTAACCTTGACTTCCACACACAGTTATTTGTAACTAAGGAGAGCTCTCAGAGTAGCTCTATATACAACGGTTAAATAAAAACTGTTTTTAACATCTTTTTGTGTTAAATCTTCTGTATTAAAAATATAAGACTGATTTTAAAACACGAGAAAAACAAATTTAATTACAGTGGTTGATATCCCTACTACAAATAACAAATAACCAGGACCTATCCCCTGGAGCAAAAGCTATTTTGTCAATAGGACAGGCTGCAAGTGCCATTTCAAAATCAGAAATAAAAGATTAGAAGGAAAAAAAAAAGGAGATGGGTTCCAAAGATGTAATTTTACTTCAATAAGACAAGAGAAGCTATGGAAAACATTCGTTATTCATTTATCAGGCAATCATAAAATAGGAAAATCTCACAGACTCTTTTATTTCATTAAACAAACAACTTCCAGTGTAAGGTATTCCTCTAACAGTACACTGGATTTTGAACCTTCAGAGAAGTTTGTTAATGTCAGTCGACCTACACACTGTAAAGTTAAAGAAAGGTGACAACCCATTTTTTGGGGCAGGAAAAAAAGCAGAGCTTTCTCTTTTGCTTCCTGGCAGAATGTCAAATCAATTATCCATTGATATATCAGAAATTGATTCGGAATTATGATGCTGTTTATCTATTTGGAAGTCTTCAAATGTGTTTGAGAACTTATGAGTTTTTTTTGTGATATTAAAAAAAGTTATTTTTTTTTTATTATGAAACATGATGAATGTTAGAGGAATGA